CCTGAATATAAACCTTTGCCAGGTATGAAGACACAGGTGCATCAGATGAATGGCGGATGGGTGCAGGGCACCTATGGTCGGACTGGTACTGCAGTGACAGTACACCCTCATGTACTGTGGGGCGTACGCTATCTGTGTAGTCTCCGATATTATAGGCTTCGCTTACCACCCCTTGCGAGGCTGTGGGTATGGGTGAAAGAAATATGTGGGTGTAGGTTTAAGGAATATGTGTGAACGGATGAAAAAAATAGAGAGAAAATGCAATGGGTACTTGTTTGGTGTGCCTATAGAGTGTAATGATGCAGTGGTAATAGGAACACAGAGAGGATATGTCAAGCGGCTGCCTTGCGTCATGACATTGACATACGTATCTACATACTTCAGAGTAGAAGGGGTGCGAAAGAGGGGATTAAGTGTATGCAAAGGGGTTTAGGTGCTACATAGCTGGACAGACCGACAGGAAGGGTTTTAAAAACTACAAACCTTAAAAGTTCAAAAAACTAATAGGTGAATGTACACTGGGTGCAGCTGTCCGGTGTTCTATACTTTTACGAACTGGTACACACAGCACAGTCGAGAGAAACACATAACCAGGTGCAGTATCGCATGCAGTGAGACGTATACAACAGTATGCGTATGTTATCAGGTTTATATGGTTGGACATTCATTTAAGGGTGGCTTTATTTCAAGTTTATATATTCTAATAAATGCATGAGTATGTCACTAAAATCGAAGTTATTGAAAAAGCTATCCATATTAGCGAGGACACATAAACATGCTACTACCCAAGGCTGCCAACAAGGCATATATATATATATATATATACATATATGTATAATACCTATATGTGCGTCCCGATATACCCACACAAACCCAACCAATATATACACACACACACACACTCCAACTCATACCGATAAAATTCTGCACCAGGCATGCGCCTATCTTCGCCCCTGGCCCTCCTGGGTCCTGCGCCACACATGCAACACTCGACGGCAGGGGTTGGCACACACTCAGACTGTACGTGAAAGTACCTCCGCCGCCTCTGTCGCCGTACGTGGTTGTCCATGGCAAATCGATCCTGAGATCTGATAGATCGTACTCGATCTCATTGGTTGCGTCGTAGGCCACACACGCCTCGGGGTCCGGTGCAAAGCTGGTGGGTGTGGGTGTGTTGTGTGTGTGTTGTGTGTGTGTTGTGTGTGTGTGTTGTGTGTGTTGTGGGTGTGGAGGGGGGGGGGGGTATGTTGAGCGGTGTGTGTGAGGTGTGTACTACAGAGAGAGTTCGGTGTAACTGGGATCATATACAGATGCGTGTAGACTTGTGTGTGCAGTATATAACACTAAGGGGTGTGTGCAGTATAAAACACTAAGGGGTGTGTGCAGTATAAAACACTAAAGAAATATCACGGGTGCGGTTGATGTCATAGGCACGTGCTTTGTTGTGTGACGCGTGAGTGGCGTAGAGTGAGGGGGTAATACATAGTTTAACCTTGTACTTGATACCACAAACAAATGCCAAGAGTGAGTGTTCCATAGAGAAGTCACAAACATGACAACCACTTGGCAGGCACATGTCACCACAAATACACAGCAATGTCACACACAGCCCTACACAGGTAACGTCATACGTCAAGATAATGACACATACACATCACACACGTATTGCCACCGTGTCACACACATGTGTCATGCACACCACACACTTGAACTGCCACAACAACGTCACACACATGTCACATGTACACCACACACTTGAACTGCCACAACAACATCATACACATGTGTCATGCATATGACAGTGATATCACTGGCAAAGGATTCACATACCCAACACCGCACGCGGCTGACGTCACCCACTCAAATTGGAATTGGCACTCGGGTGTTTCTTGGAGGAATACTGGCGCACCCTACATACACACAGATTAGGAAAAAATAGCTATGGCTATGAATTAAGTGGTGGAGATGGGAGAAAATAGTTATGGCTATGAATGAAACGTGTATCATACCAACGTAACGACAATCGTTAGGTGCATATCTTAGCTATCAACAACACAACGCACTTCTAACATACCAAAAATCCCCGAAACCTCTAAACCCTAAACTTTATAATCCTAAAAAACCTTGTAACATACCAAGGTAGGCCCGCATCGCATTGTCAGCAATGTCTGGCGCTCGTACTTGCCGTCGCGACAGGCATCTCCGCCCTCATAGAGAAAGTAAAGGGTCTGGTCCTTCATATGGGGAGGTGCAGCTATACCTAGACTTTTGGCGGGGTGCGCTTCTGCCCCATGCGCGTTGAGAATCCGTGATCTATAAAAGATGTGTATTAGAATATATACGGTAATGTTAAGTGGGTACATATGATTCTATATTTAGATTTTCAGCGGGCGAGCTTTTGCCCCGTGCATGTTGGAGTATTCGTGATCTGATAGAGATACTCAATTAGAATACACACACACATATATATATATATATATGTGTGTGTGTGTGTGTGTGTGTGTGTGTGTGTGTGTGTGTGTGTGTGTGTGTGTGTGTGTGTGTGTTGTGTGTGTAGTGTGTGTGTGTGTGTGTGTGTGTGTGTGCATACCCTCGACTCTACCCAGCCGTTGGGGTCGTCGTTGATGCTCTCATCGCCTCTACTTCGCTCACTGACATTGTCCATTGCGTGGTTGTCATGGTTACCCCCACGTGGTGATAGCTGTTGCTCAGCTTCATTTTCGTAGTCCTGCTCTTCTGACCCTGGAGCAGTGATAACAAATATGGAAGGCAAAGCACATACACGCACATACGTTAGTAGCAGTCGACACAGCCTCCAAAATACCTTAGTTGGTTCTGCTCAAAGGCACAAAGTATAAAAAAGGTGGGTCGTGATGTGTGTGTGTGAATGCCTATGTACACTTGCTCTGCGTCTATGTCGATGATTGGTAACCTGCAGGTACTTGGGCGCGTATTCGTACTGGTCGATGCAACGGCGCTGCACATGGACCACAGGGCGTGGAGGTCCATATCAAAACGTGTTTACCAATCTGTCTACATTCTGAGAACGGCTCATTATTGAGAGGGCCGTCCCGAGGAGCCGCAGTCAGTTCCCACAGAACCACCCACAGAACTCTACCAATCCGGAGCGGAAGTGGACTACTATCGAACTCGATTCTATAAATAACCTGCCAGGCCTCACCAACTTTCGCCAGCCAAAGCCCACCGAACCTACTACCAGCCGGACTCATACTACGCTCAGAACATCACTGTATATACCACATTCAAATAGTCACGATAGTCCCAATCAAGCACGTGCAACTGAGCTGTGCATAGGGCAGCGCAGCCGTATGTGTTCTGGAATTACAAGCCATAGAACTGATGAAGGCGGTTCCGTTTGAAAGGATCACCCGTGGCACCACACCTACCCGTAGCACCACACCCACCCACGCCCACCAGATACGATTGCTTACTGGTGTGCGGACAGATAAGTCGATACTCGCCATGCATATACGCTAAACATGTTTGCATGTGTGCGTGTATAGACCCAAAAGCACATACCAGTGCTCTACTATCACTTTGCACTGGGTGTACATGCTACTATGTATAATAGTATACCACTTGAGTTTTGATCCCCTCACATACCGGCATGCGTGAAGACCAGTTTAAAGGTTTGGGAGTCCTCCAGGTGAAATGTTGGGGTGAAGAAGATGCTGGGCACATCCTGGACAGCCTTGGCGATGGACTTCATATCTGCACAGGTGCGACGCCGTGCATAGCGTGCAAAGCGTGCGGGCGTGTGAGTGACTCGGTACTATTTCATAGACAAACCGTTGTACGCGTACACACAGTGCAACGGCGACCACCTAAACACTGACAGACCAGCAAGTAGATACGCATACAAACCCACGCGAACAGTACATGCAGGCTCGAGTCCAAATATTTCGAGTCCAAATATTTCGAGTCCAAATGAGAAGGGAAGAGGACGGGGGGCAAAGGACTCGACATCTCAGCGGAAACACACAGGCGCTCGATTGAGGCTCACGCTCATTTGGCTGTTGGTTTAGACCCACGCGATTATCTCTGCCACACCCTATCGATTGTTCGCACGCACGCACTCACTCACTCTCTCTGCTATCGGCTGTATATTTTAACTCATTTGCATGGGCGGCTTTCAATTTGTTTCTCACACATACTCAGTCCGTCTGATAGCTCTAAATCCCGCCAACTCGATTATCTATACATACAACACCCCCACACGCTCACTTGTACACACTCGCCCGACTGTTTCCGCACAGCCGCAGACTCACACCGCCATGTCCACACTCTCACCCACTCACTGGGCAATCCCCACGCACTCACCGTTCTGCGACGGGCCCCGTGCGTCGTTGGCTTGGGCGAGTTCCTTTTCTCTGAGCTTGGTGGCGGCTTTCATGGCCTGTCGGTTCTTCTTGAGGGTGTGGTACTTTCTCTCTGTTATCTTACCGAAGTACTTGTCGAAATCCCGTACGGTGACCGGCGGTAGAACGGAGGGAGGACACACCTCGTTTACGAACGCAGAGCCCCAGTCGTTGTAGTAGGTATCTTTATCTACTTTGGAGGCCTGAAGTAGGTATACGACATGACAGCAAAGGTTGGTGCACTACATATCGTTGTCTCCCTCCGAGGACTGTTTAAGAGTCATTGCGTCACTCTATAGAACGATTACGTACGTACTGTGATGGAGCGATTACGCCATCATGGTCAAGGTTGATTCCCCCATTTATAGTCAGGTGGGATGGGTTTTGTAAATGCAGTTTATGCTCTAATCATTCTATGCGAAGAAGCGGATTGCGCCACAGCTAAGGGATTTGGTAGTAGACATCCGCGTGTCTTCTTATATATCTCAATCGTGGCATAGAAAGAATGCGGGACATTGTAACGGTCCTAGATGCCTATGTGAGAGAACTAACTGTGTTTGTAAGTCGTGGTCATCATGGTAGGTATTAATCCCACCCACCCCCAGAAGACTACTATAAGTCAGGTGTGGGCCACGGTTAAGAAGAATATATTTTTATACAACAGAGGACCGTATGGGAGACATCATGCTCTTGGTGCCATTTTCTGCCATTGTAGCGGGTTGTGTGAGGATGAAGGTAGTTTGTGTGTGCCAGATGATTCACGCAAACTGGGATTTGGGATTGAATCATCACGCCATAACATTTGGTTCTGTATTTTGGACTGCTACTCACGACTAAATCAACCCCTCGTTAAAGTGTTGAGACCACTACAAGCCTATTTGTCAATACTATAGTGAGAGGTGGTAAACACACACTCACGACTTAATCAACCCCCCGTTAAAGTGTTGAGATTACTATAAGCCTATTTGTGAATACTATAGTGAGAGGTGGTAAACGCACACTCATTGCCTTTTGTCAGACATGAAAAAGCCGGTCATGTGAGCTGAACCCCGGACGATACGACTGCCCATAACATACACAATCCTATACAACATAGTGTAAATACTAAAACCTACGGCTTAGGATGGTTTGAAAACACCTCAGCTATACCCACTTTATCTGCCACACGATTACCATAGGATCGTTCAGGATGGACACCAGATTCTGCTTGAACTCGTCCAGGTGCCACTTCACACTCACCGCGTCTTCAGGATTCATCGTTTCTGTATCTGGGATGTGATTAGGGGAACAAGCGCAAAAGAAACTCGAATGAATATTGAGCTGAGTGTATAATGCCATCGGCCGGCAGGTTGATGTAAATCAGGCTATACAGGCAGGCAGGCGTTGATTCACTCGCGCTCGATATCGCACGGAACTAACCACAGTAATACGGAGAGAAATGCATATATGTTTAGACCATACTTAGTGATCTCCGTACATTCTCAAGAGTGACCAGAACAGAATTCGAATATTGAAACACTGAACCAATCAATCAAAAGAACGCTAATTTACAAAACTATAAATGCATCTTAAGGTATATGCAAACAAAATGTATATAAACATATACAT